GGTTGGGTCAGTCTCTTTTGCAGTGCCTGCCAGCCTCCCCAGGCTGGGTATGTGGCCACTCAGACCTGCCAGGGCCAGGTGTCTCAGTGTGGCAGTCAGAACCTCCCCAAGAGGAAATACGTGAGACACGGTCCTTGGTGGGGGCTTCCCCGCTGGAGCGGAGTCCACTATAACAGGGTGACAGCAGACTTCAGGTTTACTGGGGTGGCTTCCTGCTTCTGCACCCCTTTTTATTCCCAAAGGGCTACCAATAAAGTTCCATGTGCAACCATACACTCCCTCTGCCTCTTCCTTTGCCATCTGCTTCTCTTCCCCTAGAGGCCGGGAGGGCTGCTGGCCCTGTATGTGCGCAGCCACCCGGGGCTGACAGGATGTGACCATCGGGACAGGCTAGGGTGGTGCAGCCCAGGCCCCTGGGGCGGCCCCCTCAGGGCAGGGTTGCTGGGCAGCCGCCACGCTCAGGTTCTGCGCCAGGCTCTGCAGCCGCTGCATGCTGGGCTGCACGTTCTCCTCCAGCCACTCCTGCACGGCGTCCGGGTAGAAGGCAAGCTGCAGGGCAGCCTCCAGCTCCTGCACCACTGCACTCCACCTGGCTAGCAGACTGCGCGGAGGCACAGCTGTGAGGCCCGTGGGGAGGGCACACTCCCTCAGCTCCCCCCCCCAGATGTCAAGGGGAGCTAGACCAAGATAGCTCAATCTAGGCGTGATCCACACGACCCAGCAGACCTGACGTGCAGGGTTGGTGCACGGACCTGTTGTGCAGCTGGGGGTGCCCCCACTTGTGAGCTGCACTCATGTCCCTGAACCAGGAGTAGTAGGCAAGGGCCCTGAGGGACAGGAGGGCTGACTCCGAGGCTGGCCCTAGGCCTGCGGTGCGGGGTGACCCTATTGGCTGGGAAAGGTTGCAGATGTCTGCCATCCCTGTTTCCTGTGCTGTGAGTTGGACTTGGTGCGGCACCAGCTGGTGGGGAGGGGTGGGCCCGAGTGACGGCCGGGCAGTACCTGAGCACTTCGGGCTGCACGTGCTGCACCATGGCAGGGTGGATGAGCCTCCGCCTACGATGGTAGGGGCTGAACCAGCCAGTCACAAACCTGGGGCAGGCCCAAGACAGGAGGCGGCTGGGCTGGCAGCCCTGTGGGGTGGGCCATGCCTTCTGCCCTCGGGGCTCTGCAGATCCCTTGTACCATCCCACCACTCACCTGTTCCTCTCGAGCAGGGCATCCACGGAGCTGCTCAGGTGGAGGCTGACTTGCCAGACGAGGGCCAGGATGTTGCTGCCCGGGAAGGAGCCAGCCCCCTGGCTGCCAGAGAGCACAGCCTGAGGGCAGTGTCTCTGCAGGAAGGGGGGCCTGGGGGCGGGCATTACCTCACAGAAGGGGGCACCTCCAGGCTCGGGACTTGGAGCAAGTGCTCCACTCTCGACTTCACGTCTTCAGTGAATCCTCCTGAAACCAACCACAGGTGACAGCGGGAGTGATCAGGAAAGGCTGTGGGCTGGTAGCACAGGGAGCCACTGGCCAGGGCCGGCCCCCGAGGAGCCCCAGGAAGGGTGAGCCCTGCTGCTGCTCACTGAGCACAGGGAATGTGTGATCTTATAATGGGAAGATGGCAGTGAGAGCCCTTGGCCCTGCCCACAGGTGGAGCACAGCCGCATGGGTACCCGGGGCTCACAGAACACACCACTGTGGTTTTCTCTGCGGTCGCTAGGTCAGTGTATGTGGGCACCTGCATGAAAGCTGGTTGCAGGCGGTGAGGAGGGAGGGAGAGGCCCTGCCCCCAGAGCCCGTCAGCCTGGGCTGTGCTCTCCCCGGGGGGCGGGGCCGAGGGCAGCACGGCTGATACTTGGGCGCCTCTCCAGTGTGGGCTCAGGCACCAGTTTCCTCAGCATACCACTCTCCAAGTGACAGCCCCACGGCTCTCCCACGTCTGCGTCTGCCCCGGCCCTGCGTCCACACGCTCTTCTAAATTCCCAGTGATCTTGGCACAATCCAGGCAGCTCTTGGGGCACCCCCTCACCTGCTAGGTGATGGGGCGGGAAGCTGGGTGGTGGTGTCCACTGGGCCAGGGCACCTGCTTTTCCAGGCTGCCTGGTGTTCGTGCAGTACGGGCAGGGCCATCCCCGCATCTCCACCCATGGCAAACAGCCCGAGTCCTGCCTCCCACCCTCCTGGGCTGTCCAGTGCTGCTGGACGGACATACCATGGAGTAGCAGCTGCAGGCAGGCGGCCAGGGACGGGATGGCCACAGGAAGCAGTTCACACAGCACCGAGAAGTGGTCATACCTGCATCCAGACAGGGCCTCAGCTGCAGCCTGCCCACCAGCTTGGGCTGCTCCGCACTGGCCCTGCTCACTCGGCTGTGGGCCGAGTTCAACGCCCAGATCCAGCAGGCCTCAGGATGTGCCACACTCCCCAGCCCTTGGTGCCAGCCTGGCCCAGCCCCACCCTATGCACCCTGGGAGGAGGCCTTGTCACCAACCCTGTCCCAGCATTCTCCTGCCTGCTTAGGGGCCCACACTAGGGCCCCTCCTGCCCCGAGGGCGGTGCTGCTCGGTCACATGCTGGCTGGGCTCTCCCAGACGCCCGGGACCCTTGGCCCTGTCCTGGGTGGAGGGCTCCATCTGCAGCGTTAGTCCTGACTGCGATGTGCACCGTGGCTGCACCAGGAGCTGTCGGACAGCGGGAGCTATGGGGTCATCCCACAGGGCTGACCCTGCCTGCAGCCTGTGGCACCAGACCGGCCCGGCCCACGAGCCTGTGCAGCTGCATCACACCCTCCAGCTCCCCACGTCTGCATCTGAGTCTCGGCCTGTGGTCCGGGGCTGCCTCTCCCAGGTGCCCGCACTGGCCTCTTGCCCCTGCCCAACTCCAGGTCCAGAGCTGTCTGGAGCCACGAGCCCAGGAAGGAGCGGAAGCAGGTGGTGGGTAGGCCCTGGGTGCCCCAGGAGGTGCCCCTTAGCAGGGTCTGACATGGACTCCGGCTGGGAGGGGCTCCTTCCTGAAGGTCTTTCTGGGGCCCGAGCTCACCTCTGCCAGCCGGTCAGCACGATGCCCTGCAGCGTGTCTGCTGGCATGCGGCCTGCCACCTGCAGCCACTGCGCGTGGTTCTGGAGGTGGTGCTGGAGCGGGGGCAGGGCCTGGCGGACCCCCGTGGCCCCCTTGAAGGCACTGGCGGCCCACAGGCGTGGGAAGCCACACTCTCGGTACTTCCGCATGAGGAGGACTGGGGGGGGGGAAGCAGTGAGAGGCAGCCAGAAGGCAGCGGCCACCCAGGGCCCTCGGAGCAGCTGTGTCCTGTCCCAGTGGAGGACAGACTCCTGAGGGCACGTGGGGGGCAGGCCGTTCAGAAAACCCCTCTAGGCACTGGAAGAGAAGGTGGCCCCTGGGTGCCGTGGGGTCTGTGTGGCGGCAGCCCTGTGCCAGCACATGACTAAGGACAGCAGTCAGGGTCGCGGGTCCCGGGGACGCGCCTGGGCCGGGTGCACCCCGGCAGCGGTACTGACCCTTGCCCTGGACGTCCAGGTCGGCCCCGTAGTCCCAGAGCACCGGCTCCACCAGCTGCAGTACCCCCGACGCTGGGGACAGAGGAAAGGGGCAGCACTAGCCGACAGCATCTACTTCGCAGCCTGGCCCCACACACGCCCTGGAACCTGGGTGAGGGCCACCCTCCCAAGGACTCGCGGGCTGCAAGTGCAGGCATGGCAGGCGGAATCCTCAGCGATGGGGCCTCCCCAAGGCCAGGTGGGCCGTGATGGCGTGGGAGTGTGCTGGGGCCCCGTCTGGGCTGCCTTCTGCCCCTGTGGGCCGCCAGGCACAGCCAGAGCACCCACTGCCAGGTCACCTCCAGCTGAGTGGAAGGGCCGTCACGTCAATGGCCAGTCTGGGGGGACCCAGACCCCCAAGCACGTGGGGG